CTCATGAGAGAGCCTCAGGTGGAGCCTGTTCTGAAGCAGCTGCAGGTGTTTGAGGGAAGTGTCAGAGGGCGGAGTCTGCATCATGTCCATCACTCATGCACCGTTTGGAGGAACCCTCTGATCCGTCGGCTCCTCGTCCCGGACTCTAGCGCCGTTCGCTTTTCTGTACTTTTCATTTGTGCCGCCGCCAACCATCGAGGATCGTCCCTCCACATTCGGTGACGCCCTCCTTTAAAAGTACTTTTCCCGTGGAGGACTCAGCGCTGCCGAGGGGAAAAGTGATGCTGGCGGTAAGCACAGTCCAGGTCCTGTGTCCTCACTCACGCTGTCTCTGTTTGGTTTCTCTTTCTCTTTTTGGTCCCTCCCCTGGTTTCTCCTGCGTCCGTGTGTGTGCTGTGCTTGACTTCTTTCTTCTTTTGTGTTGGTCCCTTTTGCTTTCTGCATTTCTCTTTAACGCTCATTCCTCCTCAGACGTTGCTGGTTCTGTCTGTGCCGGTGGCGAAGGCCCAGACCCAGTTCTGAAGCTCCGGTCCCGGAGGCCACAGTCCGGTCCAAACAGACCTCAGAATGTGAATGATTGTACAGAGGTGGCAAACGTCTAAATAACTCAGATACAATAATGTGCTTTAGTCTGGCACCATGATGTGATTTTAATGCTTTTTAATTACATATGTGTTTTTAATTGTATTTTAATGGTGATGATTTGTGCATTGTGTGGTGTGGACTGTGAGGCGCTTTGTGTTGCCCTGTGCAGGAAAAGCGCCCTATAAATAAAGATTGATTGATTGATTGATTGATGAAGCCATACCATGAAGAGCTTAGCACCAGATATACCATCAGCGTAGTTCTTTCACAAAAATAATCCTTATAATCGACACTTTAGTCTGTTCAACGAGAGAAACGTCCTGCTACAGGTGACGGCGAGAGGATCCGTGCTGCTGGTTATACAAACCGCGTGGACAAACGCCATCGACACGTCATTGACACGTCATCAACACGTCATTGCACACGCTATTGACACGCCATCGACACGTCATCGACACGTCATTGACACGTCATCGACACGTCATCGACACGCCATCGACACGTCATCGACACGTCATTGCACACGCCATTGACACGTCATCAACACGTCATCGACACGTCATCGACACGTCATCGACACGTCATCGACACGCCATCAACACGTCATCGACACGTCATTGACACGTCATCGACACGTCATCGACACGTCATCAACACGCCATCGACACGTCATTGCACACGCCATTGACACGTCATCAACACGTCATTGACACGTCATTGACACGTCATCAACACGCCATCGACACGCCATCGACACGTCATCGACACGTCATCGACACGTCATCGACACGTCATTGACACGTCATCGACACGCTATCGCACACGTCATCGACACGTCATCGCACACGTCATCGCACACGTCATCGCACACGTCATTGACACGCCATCGCACACGTCATCGACACGCCATCGCACACGTCATCGACACGTCATCGACACGTCATCGACACGTCATCGACACGTCATCGCACACGTCATTGCACACGCCATTGCACACGTCATCAACACGTCATCGACACGCCATCGACACGTTATCAACACGTCATTGACACGTCATTGCACACGCCATTGACAGACCATCGACACGTCATTGACACGTTATTGACACGTCATCGACACGCCATCAACACGTCATCGACACGTCATCGCACACGTCATCGACACGTCATCGCACACGCCATCAACACGCCATCGCGCACACCATCAACACGCCATCGCACACGCCATTGCACACGCCATCGACACGCCATCGCACACGCCATTGCACACGCCATCAAAACGCCATCGCACACGCCATTTTTGGCTAGAACACAGTCTGTACCGACAACATCGTTAGCTAACGCAAGTGCTAAATACATATTTATTCTTGTCCTTTAAAAATAATAAATATTTCTATTGAATACAAATGTTTTTTTATGAATTTGTATTTATTTAATGTTATGGTTTTACAACAAGAGGCTCGGGTCCTGAGAGAGACTACAGCGAGACCTCACCAGAGGCAGCTCCAGGGGGTGAGGAGAGAGACACCTCCTCCTAACCTCTGACCCCTGAGCCCTGACCTCTGACTTTTGACCCGTGACTTCTGACCTCTGAGCCCTGACCTCTGAGCCCTGACTTCTGAGCCCTGACCTCTGAGCCCTGACCCCTGACCTCTGACCTCTGACTTTTGACCCCTGACCCTCGCTGATTGGGCAGAGAACAGTCTGACTAGTGTTGCTGCTTTGCCGCTGTGCCCTGTCTGAACGAGGCTGTGATGCCATTCCCTTGGAGTCCTCCAGGGGGCGCTGTTTGGACCAAGTTTGTGGAAAGAGGTTCCAACAGTTCAGATCCATAACGACTCTGCAGCGGAGACTCTAACCTTTCCCTCACTGCACTTTTTACGTCAAACTATTTAAAAAAATCATCCATTTTATCTCTTATGACAGTGCAGCCACTAATCCACTGCTCCATAAAACCAACCCGAGCCAGACCGTGCCTGACCAGCCTCCCCCCAGCAGCAGCAGAGGGTCAGACACAACTGAGGCCGAGCTGGGCCGAGCCGGGCCGAGCCGGGCCGAGCCAATCCATGTCTGTGCTGTTGGCTACAGCAATAAAAGTGTTTTAGTGAAGGTTGGTCTCGGAGTTTCAGGCTTTATGTTTTTATACATGATGAAGAAGACTTTGGTTTGATTCAGGAGCTGAGATAAGACCCACGACCAGACCCAGAACCAGACCCAGGACCAGACCCAGGACCAGACCCAGAACCAGACCCAGGACCAGACCCAGGACCAGACCCAGGAACAGACCCAGAACCAGACCCAGAACCAGACCCAGAACCAGACCCAGGCTCAGACACTGCCTCCACAGAAGTAAATGAATGAATGTTGATGATACGGATCATGAGCCTGTGTCTCTTTGGCAGAAGGTTGTGGGTTCGATCTCATGTTGTGTGGAGTTTGCTTATTTCTCTGTGTGTCAATTATTTTAACATCACGTCTGTCGGAAAAATGCTTTCTCTGCCCACTGCAGGCCACCCACGGTACTGCAGCCTAAATCCACATGAACTAGAGGTCACTTGTGGTCACTGCAGCCTAAATCCACATGAACTAGAGGTCACTTGTGGTACTGCAGCCTAAATCTACATGAACTAGAGGTCACTTGTGGTACTGCAGCCTAAATCCACATGACAGAAGATGTCCCCACAGACCTCAAAGACACAACTACAGTTCTTGTTTTGTTTTGAAAGTTTCTATGAATCTACACTTGCTACAAACTCCGCTCCCTCTTGTCCCGCTCTCTCTCGCTCTGGTCAGGCACAGCTGATCAGAGTGAGTGAGACCAGGAGAACCAGAAAGAGAGAGAGAGTCCATGGTGCGAGCGTGGGTCAATGAGCACAGGCCACTGATCTGAATGGGCAGACATCTTGGAAACCCAGGGCTGTGTTTTGAGTTTGTGCTAGCATATCATGATTTTAGCTGAGTTTAAGACACAGTTGCCACCTCTGTCCATGCGTCAGAAAGAAGTTAAAACTGCTTTGAACGAGTGGATGAACTGGGACGGGCCTTCGCTCCAGAAAACTGTTGTTTTAAAGTAAGCTGGAGATGATGTGAGCCGCTGTAGTCGTAAATGTCCTCTTTTGTCAGATTCAGCTTCCCTCAAGCAGACAGGATCTTTGTGACGTTAGAACATTTGACCAAAGCAGAAATGTTGTCTGAGTTAATGCTAACGCTAACTCACTGTAGCTACGAGCTGTGACGATGCCGTGTACATATATGTGGGAGTGTTAAAAGAACTGGAGCTGATTTAGTCCAAACTAAAGTGTAAAATCTAAGGAATGAGACGGTCAAGGTCAATCTCTAATGTCATTATCATTCCGTAAAGACCAAGAGGATCTCTAAGCTCCACTTCTCGTATCGCCCCCTGTTTCTTGTGTGTCTGGCAGCACTACACACTTTTGGGCATTAGTCACAAGACCTACTCTACTCTATTACACTTTACTATCTAGTACCGTATCCTAGCAACCTACCTGACAATTAGAACATTTAAGTACCAGTTCGACCTGGATAGAACCTGGACCAGGAGCTGAAAAGTCCTGCTGGAAAAAGATTTGATCGGAGTAGAGCATGAAATGAATACAGTCTCAGTATCTGAATACAGTTGGCCGAAGCTCTCCTGACTGAGAACCAACCAAACAACAAAGTAAATCTGACAAAACATTTCATCAAACTCCTGTAGATTAAGTGTGTACCACTTATGACGTCTTATTAATACAATGGTCTAATGTCGAGATCTTGGCTGAAAAGATTTTTTCTCCTGATTGGAAAAAAAGTTTGGACACCCCCCTAGCCAACTTAGGCTAACTTTGTAATGTGGCAAAGTCAAGCTAACTTTATTGGCTTACCATCACACCTCTGAACTAAAATACTGAGCTTATTATGTTTTTCATGGTTTTAAGACTAGAAAACATAGTGTACCATTAGGAGGCCGAATGCGATGTGTGTAATGTTGCATCTGGTGGATCTTTGGTGGAGCCAAAGCAAGAGCGTGCAACCATAACCTGAGCCGCTCTCTGCTTTGAGTGGGTTTGAAACAGTTGTTTCATACATTTGTAAACCACAAAAATATAGAACTATTTTATAAAACCCATATAATTAGTTTTTGCACATTTTTGACCTCTGTCACATCTTTCAATGGGAGGACCACCCTCACGAGTGTACCCCGAAGGAGTCAAATAGTGACTCACAGGGCACCTCTTTTTTACAAGTGTGCGGATGTGAGGATGACAAACAACAAACCCCAGCTTTAAATCCCAATAAAATAAGTCTAGAATCAGAGCTGCTTAAAAACTGTGTGGTGTTGCTTGTGTAAACTTGTTGCACATACTTCCTGTTCCCTGTCATTAACCTCGCCCCCTCTCTCCTGTGATTGGTTGGCAGCTGGAGGAGGATCGGCACGGCGCGCGCCCTAACCAGCTGCGGCGCCTGGCCTCCTACGTCTTCTCGTCGTCGACGCTGGAGCCGGAGCAGTACCCCCACGGCCCCAACCACGCCTTCATCCAGCGCAGCCGCTCCGCCGAGAGCAGCCCTGCGCACCTGGCCGGCTCAGGGCGGCCACGGCCACGCCAGCACGGCACGCTGCCTCGCCACAGACACTCCGTGCTCAACGCGTCGCGCTCACAGCTGCAGCAGATGTTCGCCAAGCTCATGAACAAGAACAACAATGGCGCCGCTAACAGCTAATGGCAGAACAAAGGATGTAAACGGGGGAGGTGGGCGTGGCGCAAGAGATGGGAGATGGAGGCCTCGGTCCCCACTTTACACCAAGACTCAGTCCCCTCAGGTCTCCAGAGCGTACACACAGGTCCTCAGAGCATACACACAGGTCCTTAGAGCGTACACACAGGTCCTCTGAGCGTACACACAGGTCTTCACAGCATACACACAGGTTTTCAAAGTGTACACACAGGTCCTCAGAGCGTACACACAGGTCCTCAGAGCGTACACACAGGTCTCGAGAGTGTACACACAGGTCTTCACAGCATACACACAGGTTTTCAGAGTGTACACACAGGTCCTCAGAGCGTACACACAGGTCCTCAGAGCGTACACACAGGTCTTGAGAGTGTACACACAGGTCTTCACAGCATACACACAGGTTTTCAGAGTGTACACACAGGTCCTCAGAGCGTACACACAGGTCCTCAGAGCGTACACACAGGTCTCGAGAGTGTACACACAAGTCTTCAAAGCATACACACAGGTTTTCAGAGTGTACACACAGGTCCTCAGAGCGTACACACAGGTCTTCAGAGCCTGATGGACACCTCTAGGGAAACACCCACTTCTTGATTCCACAAATAAATTCCCCAAAAGATTGAAAACTGAGGCTGATGAGCGCCACGTGAGGAATGAGTATTTTCCCATAGTAATGTTTTCCGTTTCATGAGTCTGTTTCTTGGTGTAAATTGGGGCAGAGCTGGAGTTGGCTCTGAGTAAAACTAACCAGTAAAACTAATCACAGGGCGCATTGCTCCACACACGTCCGTCTAAAGGTGTCGTGTGTTGGAAAGTTCTCGAGCTCCATGAAAAGTAAACCGTCTGCTTACGGTGATATATCCATCCTTGTGATGTTTGATGCATTGTGGGTAAAGTCACCAAATTAAAAAAATGTTTTACCAAACAAAAAACCCAAAATAAATACAGCACACAAAGTCAATAAACCATTCTAATATACTAAAGTAAAAACTCGACAGATTGTACAGTATGACCTGACCAAGCCGCCCTGTGACCTCACCGAGCCGCCCTGTGACCTCACCGAGCCGGCCTGTGACCTCACCGAGCCTCTCTGTGACCTCACCGAGCCGGCCTGTGACCTCACCGAGCCTCTCTGGGACCTCACCGAGCCTCTCTGGGACCTCACCGAGCCTCTTTTCTCCCGTCTCAACCGTGCGCCGCCGGAGAAGCTGCAAACCGAGTCTGAAACTGAAGAGCTGTTCCATGCAATAAACTGAAAACCCGCCGCACGAAGCTTGAAGTTGCACACGCCACAAACCGCGGGACGAGAACTTCTACCAGACTGTTACCAAATGATATATTCTTTTCTATAAACTGTTCAGAAGCGGAACATGTTCTGAGGAATGCGGGTCGTCCTCAAAAGTGAAAAAACTGAATCACCCGAGCAATACACGCTTGTTTGTTTGTTTTTAACCACGTCACACGAACGCATCGCTTTGTGACGGAGCCAAAGGGAAGAACACATCTGTCATGTCCTACTGTAGCCTGGTCTTACCATGTGTAAACTCTGGTCTTACCATGTGTAAACTCTGGTCCATGATCATTTCCTACATGTACGTCTGGGTCTAATCCTAGTGGCTGCAGTTTCCTCGGTTGAATCCCCTCCGACCAATCAGAGAGCGGGGGAGGCGGGTGTTGTAGGTCGGTGTCGGTGACGTCAAGAGTTTGTGCTGAATTTGCTGGTTGTAGTTTGTCGGAGAATTGCCGCAGCAAGAGGAATGTTTAGTAAATGTCATTGAAGCAAAGATTTTGTGGATCTACTCCCCACGGGCTCCGTTAGTGGCAAAGGAGACGGCTAAAGCTAGGCTAAATGCTAAATGCTAACGACTCACTCGGGCTCATTACATACGTCATGGTAAACTCAGATCCAATGGTTTCAATCTGCAAAAGGAGTTAACCCCTCCCACCTGTTAACGGAGTCGATGGAGCAAATCCAGACCTTAGTACAAATGAAATGAGTACCATGGTGTGGTAAGACCAGGCTACCTCTGTCGTGTCGTACTCTAGTTTTGGAACGGATGGATCTGGGATATTTCAGGGTACACTGCACTTCTAACTTTTCTCCTCGCGTACGCCGTGATAAAAGTAAATTTATATAAACATAATGAGAGCAAACACCAGTTTATGAAGATATAATATAGACTAAAAGAATAAAGACTGTAAAAGTCACGCTCTGCTGCGATATATAATATTTAATATACAGCAACATGAAAAACATTGGAATTTAGCTCCGGCCCTGACGCGTTTCTCATCGTAGAAGTTCACTTCCTGGTTATGAACGATGACATCATCAAAGGGGCTGGGCCAATGACAGAAGATTAAGATGAAGAGATCCTTTATTCATCCCACAGTGGGGAAATTTCAGTGTTGCATCACAAATTAGAGATTAGGGCCCTGTTAATGATGACAGATTAGGGCCCTTTAATCCTCATTAAAGGGCCCTAATCTGTCATCATTAACAGGGTCCTTTAATGAGGACACATTAGGGTTCTTTAATGATGAGGATTAGGGTCCTTTAATGATGACAGATTAGGGCCCTTTAATAATGACAGATTAGGGCCTTTTAATGAGGACAGATTAGGGTCCTTTAATGAGGACACATTAGGGTTCTTTAATGATGACAGATTAGGGCCCTTTAATGATGACAGATTAGGGTCCTTTAATGATGAGGATTAGGGTCCTTTAATGATGACAGATTAGGGCCCTTTAATGATGACAGATTAGGGCCCTTTAATGATGACAGATTAGGGCCCTTTAATGATGACAGATTAGGGTCCTTTAATGATGACAGATTAGGGCCCTTTAATGATGACAGATTAGGGCCCTTTAATGATCACTGGACATGAAAATCTTACATAAAGTGAATGTTGGCAGCGGAGTAAGAATACTATTACTTTATTAAGGTTGAAAAAACTAATACAAATATACATATATAATATAATGTACATATTTTCCACTTTGCAGGATGTACCCTGAAATAACAGACTTACTGAACAGGATGTGTGTGCAGGGTGGGGCGCCGTCTGCCCCAGGGCAGCTGTGACTTCCCGTAGGAGAGATGATATTTATAAACCAGTGGATCATGAAAATGTGAAATGTGAAATCCTGGACATATTTTTCAAATCCGTTCTGGAGTTTTTGGTGCTTTCTAAACGTATCACAACACCACACGTCTCACAAAGTATCATGACAAGTGTGTGCGTGTGTGTGTGTGTGTGTGTGTGCGTGCACCTGTGTGTGTGTGTGTGTGTGTGTGTGTGTGTGCACCTGTGTGTGCGTGTGTGTGTGTGTATGTGTACCTGTGTGTATGCGTGTGTTTGTGTGTGTGTGTGTGTGCGTGTGTATGTGTGTGTTTGTGTGTGTGTGTGTGTATGTGTGTGTGTATGTGTGCACCTGTGTGTGTGCGTGTGTATGCGTGTGTGCGTGTGTTTGTGTGTGTGCGTATGTGTCTGTGTGTGTGCCTGTGTGTCTGTGCACCTGTGTGTGTGTCTGTGCACCTGTGTGTGTGTGTGTGCACCTGTGTGTCTGTGTGTATGCGTGTGTGTGTGTGTGTGTGCGTGTGTATGTGTGTGTTTGTGTGTGTGTGTGTGCGTATGTGTCTGTGTGTGTGTTTATGTGTGTGTGTCTGTGCGTGCCTGTGTGTGTGTGTGCCTGTGTGTTTGTGTGTCTGTGCACCTGTGTGTGTGTGTGTGCACCTGTGTGTGTGTGTGCGCGTGCCTCTGTGTGTGTGCGTATGTGTCTATGTGTTTGTGTGTGTGTGTGTGTGTGCACCTGTGTGTGTGCGTATGTGTGTGTGTGTGTGTGCACCTGTGTGTGTGCGTATGTGTCTGTGTGTGTGTGTGTGTGTGTGTGTGTGCACCTGTGTGTGTGCGCGTATGTGTCTATATGTGTGTGTGTGTGTGTGTGTGTGTGCACCTGTGTGTGTGCGTATGTGTGTGTGTGTGTGTGTGCGTGTGTGTACTGTGGACCTATTTAAAGCTAAGTTTAAAGTGCGTATGACTGCTTACACTTTATATTAAATGTATAGGATTTTCTACTTCCGGGTGGATCTTCAAAACTATTGGTCCTTCCAACTGCCAATCATTCTGGTGATATGAAAAACTCAATTATATTAAGTGTTAGGGTTGGGAACCAGGAAGTACCACAGTAAAGAAGCAGGAAGTACCATATTATTGTGTGGTGTTTTTAAAGCTGTCATTCGCACTTCAACCACGTCACAATCGTACCAGCGAAATGTAAACACAACTGAAGTGACGGAATGTGTCAAATATGTAGAGAAATTACAGACACACACACACATATACACGCATACACGTACACACACACACACACACACATATACACGCATATATGACACACATACATGTACACACACATACATACATGGACACACACACACACACATACATATGACACACATACATGTACACACACATACACATACATATATGACACACATACATGTACACACACATACATACATGTACACACATATATGACACACTTACATGTACACACACATACATACATGTACACACACACACACACACACATACATATATGACACACATACATGTACACATACATCTATGACACACATACATGTACATACACACACACATACATCTATGACACACATACATGTACATACACACACACATACATGTACACACACATACATGTACACACACAAACACATACATATATGACACACATGCATGTACACACACTAACATGTACACATACATTTATGTACACACACATAAAGATATATTTATATATTATATATATATATATATATATATCTATATATACAGTATATATTTATCATTAAAATGATCCGTCTTCCAAAACAGTTGCTTTACCACATTCCACTGTTTTCTTGCACTTTCATCACTTTATATAAAGTCTGGGACCATGTGACCATATGACCATGTGACCATGTGACCATGTGACCATATGACCATGTGTCCATGTGACCATGTGACCATGTGACCATATGACCATGTGACCATGTGACCATATGTGACCATATGTGACCATGTGACCATATGACCATGTGACCATGTGACCATGTGACCATATGACCATGTGACCATGTGACCATATGACCATGTGACCATGTGACCATGTGACCATATGACCATGTGACCATGTGACCATGTGACCATGTGACCATGTGACCATATGTGACCATATGTGACCATGTGACCATATGACCATGTGACCATATGACCATGTGACCATGTGACCATGTGACCATGTGACCATATGTGACCATGTGACCATGTGACCATATGACCATGTGACCATGTGACCATGTGACCATATGACCATGTGACCACAGCCCGTTCTGATTTAACCATATAGCACAAAGGAGCAGTAGCATCTTTTAAAACATTACGACCAAATCATGATGAACCGACACGTGCGTTTATTATTTATCTAAAGTATTTCACTGTAGTATTAAAGTATTTCACTGTAGTATTAAACTATTTCACTGTAGTATTAAAGTATTTCACTGTAGTATTAAAGTATTTCACTGTGGAAAGAGCCAATGACGCAGAGAGTCTACATTCTTCTGTCATATAGAACATAAATACATGAATACAGTTATTAGGAACGAGCTGTTAAAGATCTGAGGAGACTTTGGTCATAAATCCTCGGTGAAACTCGGTGAAATATTGACAATTAAACTTGTAACGTTCATTGCTGTGGTTGTTGAAGGCTAGATTGTTAGCCATTAGCTGCTAGCATTTAGCTAAAGCTGTTAGCCTTTAGCTGGGGTGGAATGTTTGAGAGTGACACTTTTGTTTTTCTCTTAAAGGGCTACGTTCACATATGCACCGCGCACCGCTAGCTTTGAGACCGACCTGCGCTGCTTCTGACCGCATTAAACCACCGGGAATGTACCGCGAGCTGCTAACGTTTCCTTCGCACGCTTTGTTTACTCTCCACACGCTGAGGTTTGGCTTCAGATCTGGCGGGAAACGCATTTTGGTTGAACAGGCTGTGTCCAAAGAGAACTGAGATGGACTAAGATGTGATCCGATGTAGAGGACTAGAGCTATGAATCTGTAATGCAATCTGGACACAATATTACTAGCTTATAGCGGTCTCACCCATGGCCACAGGGGGCGCCAGTGGTACTGCGGACTAAAAATGTCCTATAGAACTAGGTGTAAACTAAAACAGCTCGACCCGAGGTAACAGAGAACCTGACAGAGAACCTACATCTTACATAAAGGTCAGATGTTGTGGGGATAGTAATGTCTCTTGTCGTCCCATTTGAATTGGACGCCATCTTGGATTTCCCGGGGCTAGCCAAGAGCCAGGTTCTGAGTCCATGTTACCAAATGTAGCTGTAGCGTATTAGCCACATAGCAGAGTTAGGGTTATGATTGTTGAAGTGGAATTCGGAATCCTGTTGGGAGAAAACGGACACAGCCTGTTGACCGAACGACCGAAGCTAAAACTCTGCCTTCGACTGAGAACGTCTGTAATCCTCTTTGTAAATATTGTAGCGACGAAGAGATGGAGGGAAAGTTTATGATCTGAAAATAAAAACAATACTTATCTCTAAACTTTGCTCTTGGGGAAAGAGAGAAAGCACTGACCGCTGTAAACGTATGGATCTCCAACGCTTTGCAGTCATTTCTTTTTGAATTACGCCGTTTTAATCTACAGCGTTTTTTGGGGAATCACAACATTTTCCGGCTTCGTTCCCATTCGCCGACACGTGCGCTGTACATAACTCGGCTCTGTATCGAGGTGTAAATCCAAGGCAATAAGCGCAGGACTGGGTGTGACTTGTAATATACATGTAAGCGTTTCTTTTCTACCACACAGCACTGTACAGTTACTGCTTGTATCATTTCAAACGCATGTATTTGAGAGGTTTTTGTACAGACCCGTAGAGAGCCATGTCCGGGGCGGCCGCGAGCGCATGTCCGGGGACGTCCACCAGGGGGAGCCACTTGAACACATCGACTGCGTGCTGTCAAGAAAAAGACTCTGCAATGCATTTTTTGTGCCTTTTATATCAATGTATGTAATCTAGACAATCTTTAAGAGCTTGTGTACAACCAAACGACGGTGTAATAAACGGATTTGGGGAAAATACAATGTTTGGGGTTTGATTCTTCTTCACACAGAGACGAGACGAGTGGGACGGACTTTCAATCTCCAAACGTGGATTTGCCGTAAGTGGACGTGAGCCATGGATCTATAATAATAACCGGATAGGGTATTACTAGCTTATAGCTGTCCCACCCATGGCCACAGGGGGCGCTGTGGTACTGCAGACTAAACTTACCCAGAAAAAAGTCCCATAGAACTCAATGTAAATTAAAACAGCTCAACCTCAGCTGACAGAGAACCTGACAGAGAACCTACAGCTTTCATGAAGGACGGATTTTGTGTGGATTTTAGTGTCCCTTGTCGTCCTGAACTTTTTTTCTTCTTAAATCCTTTGGTTTTCTTTAAATCCACACTTTACTGTCACAAACTCTGCTCCTTTCCTTCCCGCTCTGACTCCGCCCTGCTGCTCTGATCAGCTCTGATTGGTCAGAGCGTGGCCGAGCCCCTCTGTGCACGTGCATGAGAGACACACACGCGTATTTGGCGCAAAGCATCATGGGAGCTCGTCCACTGCGCAGAACCAAGAGGACCAGACGATGCCCAAATATGGGCGAGTTCTGCTAATCTTCCGGTCTCCGTGAAGTCCCATGAACTACTGAGCACAAGCCATTCATTTGAATAGGACGCCATCTTGGATCACCGGGCTTGACCAGTGGGGGCGGGTCCTGGTTCAAAAGTGGCCAAAACTTCCTGTGTGGGCGTGGTCAGCTGGCGATACTTCTTGTGTGTATGTCTCCACCCTCAATAGATTTTAAAATTTTATCCAAGATGGCTGTTGGATTGGAGGTGAGTCCCGAAGAGGATCTTTTTAGAGCCTGAGGACTGTTGACGTACTTTGAGTAATTGTTTCTGTTGTAAAGTATGTCAATAAAAGGTTGTTATAGTTTGTTGTGTTGCCGTGGCAGGCCGCAGCGGTGGCGTGTCCCGCAGAGAAGACGCCCTCCCCCACGTCTCCCGACTATCGAACCAAAGGCTTGGACGATGAGAAGCAGCACTTCCACATCCTGCCGCAGCTCCAGGCCAAACGTGCAGACTTCCTGACCGTGGTACTCACCGGGACCTTACCCTCACGACGCAGCTTTGCCACTCCAGAGGCCGCACCCGAGGCCCCGGGGCCACGGGATGACGACGTGACCAAGAGCGAGTCCAATAGCGAGGCCAGTCAGAAGAGCACAGAGAGGAGCCAAGAGGCCGCGCCCTCCACACTGATGGCAGAGGACCAGAGGGGCCCCAAGGTCAGTGTGCCTTTGATCTGTGTCTTTGACCCTTTGATCTGTGTCTTTGACCCTTTGATCTGTGTCTTTGAACCTTTGATCTGTGTCTTTGAACCTTTGAACTGTGTCTTTGAACCTTTGATCTGTGTCTTTGAACCTTTGATCTGTGTCTTTGAACCTTTGATCTGTGTCTTTGAACCTTTGATCTGTGTCTTTGAACCTTTGATCTGTGTCTTTGAACCTTTGAACTGTGTCTTTGAACCTTTGATCTGTGTCTTTGAACCTTTGATCTGTGTCTTTGAACCTTTGATCTGTGTCTTTGAACCTTTGATCTGTGTCTTTGAACCTTTGATCTGTGTCTTTGAACTGTGTCTTTGAACCTTTGATCTGTGTCTTTGAACCTTTGAACTGTGTCTTTGAACCTTTGATCTGTGAACAGGTTTCAGGAGCAGAGAACGACCCGGACCTGGAGGACGCGTCCAAAACCCTGGTGCTGTTCTCTCCTGGAGACACTCGTAAGTCTCCGTCAGACGGGGCTCTGGAGTCGGAGCTGGCCACGCCCTGCGCTCTGACGCCTCAGCTGCAGCTGGAGGCCCCCAACACGGGCCGCCTCTCCCCCGTCCTGAGGCTGGAGGCCCCCGACACGGGCCGCCTCTCCCCCGCCCTGAGGCTGGAGGCCCCCGACACGGGCCGCCTCTCCCCCGCCCTGAGGCTGGAGGCTCCTGACACGGGCCGCCTCTCCCCCGCCCTGAGGCTGGAGGCTCCTGACACGGGCCGCCTTGGAGGCCCCTGACACAGGCCGCCTTGACACAGGCCGCCTCTCCCCCGCCCTGAGGCTGGAGGCCCCCGACACGGGCCGCCTCTCCCCCGCCCTGAGGTCCGACCTGAGGCCTGGCACCCCCGTGGCCCCGGCCTCTCCGCCCTTTACCAAAGTGGAGCGCACCTTTGTCCACATCGCAGAGACCTCGCACCTCAACGTGATGTCGTCAAACGGGCACACGGCAAAAGACACGGAGGTAACCTCAACACGACCTGCCGAAGACCCACTGGTCCAGACCCTCAGGAGACCATCTGAGGCCGAGGCCTTCAGGGAACAGGCCGGAGACCCCCCGCTCCAGACCCTCAGGAGACCATCTGAGGCCTTCAGGGAACAGGCCGGAGAGCCACCGGTCCAAACCCTCAGGAGACCATCTGAGGCCGAGGCCTTCAGGGAACAGGCTGAAGACGCAGAGGTGTCAGGGTTCATGAGTCAAGATGAAGTGGACCGGCCCCAGATCGACACGAGTCCAGAGACTGTCCCACCAGAGAACGGACCACGGATGGGGACCCGGGCTGAGACCCAGGCTGAAACCCGGGCTGAGACCCAGGCTGAAACCCGGGCTGAGACCCAGGCAGAGACCCCGCAGCAGAAAGCACAGGTGAGAGAATAGAAAGATAAAACACTCCTACTAACTTTCTCAATAAGACAGTAGGTGACTTTTACACAGTACAGTGGACGTGTAGGACTGACCCAGGACTGAGGCTGTAGACCCAGGACTGAGGCTGTAGACCCAGGTCTGAGGCTGTAGACCCAGGTCTGAGGCTGTAGACCCAGGTCTGAGGCTGTAGACCCAGGACTGAGGCTGTAGACCCAGGTCTGAGGCTGTAGACCCAGGACTGAGGCTGTAGACCCAGGTCTGAGGCTGTAGACCCAGGACTGAGGCTGTAGACCTAGGACTGAGGCTGTAGACCCAGGTCTGAGGCTGTAGACCTAGGACTGAGGCTGTAGACCTAGGACTGAGGCTGTAGACCCAGGTCTGAGGCTGTAGACCTAAGACTGAGGCTGTAGACCCAGGACTGAGGCTGTAGATATTTTGGCTGTTTGTGTACCTCGTGTTGGTGTCATGGCGTTTGTCCTTTAAACATGTTTCTCTCCTGTCGGCCCCTCAGTCGGTTGCTACCATGGTGTCGGAGAAGATGGGGCGGCCTCGGCTGCGCAGCAGGATCCCGGTGTTGGTGTCGGAGGAGGACTCTGGCTCCGAGCGCTCGTTTTCAGCCTCAGCCCGAGCGCGGCTCCAGCACAGGGCGCGGCACATGGGGCTGGCCCGACTGGTGGTGGAGAAGGGGAGGTGGGCGGGCCGCAGGAGGGGCCTCTCTGGGACCTCCTCCTCACTCTCCTCTGGGGACGAGGAGAAGCGGAACACAGCGTCAGAGGAGGACCACAGCAGAGGTACCAGAGTGGACCACAGCAGAGGTACCAGAGTGGACCACGTTATTTTGTTCAGAAACTAACAGTTGTGTCTTCCAAAGACTACACTTCAGACGAGTCTCGCTCCAGACTGAGGACCACAGAGGAGCAGGGGCCCCGAGAAGGACGGAGCCGCATCCCACAACCGCTGACCCCAGTTAAGAGGCCCGTGGCTGAGCTCACCGCTGCTGCCAGCCCCCCTCCTGCCCCCATAGGCTCCAGCGGGTACGTGGGCCAGGACTGAGACCTAGGACTGAGACTGTAGACCCAGGACTGAGGTTGTAGACCCAGGACTGAGGCTGTAGACCCAGGACTGAGGCTGTAGACCCAGGACTGAGACTGTAGACCCAGGACTGAGGCTGTAGACCCAGGACTGAGGCTGTAGACCCAGGACTGAGACTGTAGACCCAGGACTGTTACTATTACTGACCCTGGTGGTGGCCCTCTGTGGACTAGACCCTGGTGGTGGTCCTGGTGGTGGTCCTCTGTGGACTAGACCCTGGTGGTGGTCCTCTGTGGACTAGACCCTGGTGGTGGTCCTCTGTGGACTAGACCCTGGTGGTGGTCCTCTGAGGGCTAGACCCTGGTGGTGGTCCTGGTGGTGGTCCTCTGTGGACTAGACCCTGGTGGTGGTCCTGGTGGTGGTCCTCTGTGGACTAGACCCTGGTGGTGGTCCTCTGTGGACTAGACCCTGGTGGTGGTCGTCTGAGGGCTAGACCCTGGTGGTGGTCCTGGTGGTGGTCCTCTGTGGACTAGACCCTGGTGGTGGTCCTGGTGGTGGTCCTCTGTGGACTAGACCCTGGTGGTGGTCCTCTGAGGGCTAGACCCTGGTGGTGGTCCTGGTGGTGGTCCTCTGTGGACTAGACCCTGGTGGTGGTCCTGGTGATGGTCCTCTGTGGACTAGACCCTGGTGGTGGTCCTCTGTGGACTAGACCCTGGTGGTGGTCCTGGTGGTGGTCCTCTGTGGACTAGACCCTGGCGGTGGTCCTGGTGGTGGTCCTCTGAGGGCTAGACCCTGGTGGTGGTCCTGGTGGTGGTCTTCTGTGGACTAGACCCTGGCGGTGGTCCTGGTGGTGGTCCTCTGAGGACTAGACCCTGGTGGTGGTCCTGGTGGTGGTCCTCTGTGGACTAGACCCTGGTGGTGGTCCTGGTGGTGATCCTCTGAGGGCTAGCCCCTGGCGGTGGTCCTGGTGGTGGTCCTCTGTGGACTAGACCCTGGTGGTGGTCCTGGTGGTGGTCCTCTGTGGACTAGACCCTGGTGGTGGTCCTGGTGGTGGTCCTCTGAGGGCTAGACACTTTCTTGCCAAGTCCGTGCGTCATTATTGAACAGTCCGTGCGTGCCGAGAGGTCCGTGCGTTGTGACGGTCGAACGCGCGCCACCATTGACTTTGCATTGAAACCCGACGCAGCATGATCCGGTCTGAAAGCACCATAAAAGTTTAACATTTGGCAAAATAAGAAGCAAGTATAAAGTACTGTGTAAACTAGTGCAAGCAATGTGTAGTTATGTTAGCATCTGTACATTAGCAGCAGTATGTTTACATCTGTACATTAGCAGCAGTATGTTTACATCTGTACATTAGCAGCAGTATGTTTACATCTGTACATTAGCAACAGTATGTTTACATCTGTACATTAGCAGCAGTATGTACATTAGCAGCAGTATGTTTACATCTGTACATTAGCAGCAGTATGTTTACATCTGTACATTAGCAGCAGTATGTTTACATCTGTACATTAGCAGCAGTATGTTTACATCTGTACATTAGCAGCAGTATGTTTACATCTGTACATTAGCAGCAGTATGTACATTAGCAGCAGTATGTTTACATCTGTACATTAGCAGCAGTATGTTAGCATCTGTACATGTTAGCAGCAGTATGTTTACATCTGTACATTAGCAGCAGTATGTTTACATCTGTACATTAGCAGCAGTATGTTTATATCTGTACATTAGCAGCTGTATGTTTACATCTGTACATTAGCAGCAGTATGTTTACATCTGTACATTAGCAGCTGTATGTTTACATCTGTACATTAGCAGCAGTATGTTTACATCTGTACATTAGCAGCAGTATGTTTACATCTGTACATTAGCAGCAGTAGTTTACATCTGTACTTTAGCACAGTTTACATCTGTACATTAGCAGCAGTATGTTTACATCTGTACATTAGCAGCAGTATGTTTACATCTGTACATTAGCAGCAGTATGTTTACATCTGTACATTAGCAGCAGTATGTTTACATCTGTACATTAGCAGCAGTATGTTTACATCTGTACATTAGCAGCTGTATGTTTACATCTGTACATTAGCAGCAGTATGTTTACATCTGTACATTAGCAGCAGTATGTTTACATCTGTACATTAGCAGCAGTATGTTTACATCTGTACATTAGCAGCAGTATGTTTACATCTGTACATTAGCAGCAGTATGTTTACATCTGTACATTAGCAGCTGTATGTTTACATCTGTACATTAGCAGCAGTATGTTTACATCTGTACATTAGCAGCAGTATGTTTACATCTGTACATTAGCAGCTGTATGTTTACATCTGTACATTAGCAGCTGTATGTTTACATCTGTACATTAGCAGCAGTATGTTTACATCTGTACATCAGCAGCAGTATGTTTACATCTGTACATTAGCAGCAGTATGTTTACATCTGTACATTAGCAGCAGTATGTTTACATCTGTACATTAGCAGCAGTATGTTTACATCTGTACATTAGCAGCAGTATGTTTACATCTGTACATTAGCAGCTGTATGTTTACATCTGTACATTAGCAGGACTCAAGGTCTACTCCAAGGTACTGGAGAGGAGGGTACGGCCGATGGTCGACTCCTCAATAGCCCGACCTGTCCACATGTGCTTTGTGGATTTGGAGAATGTGTTCGACCGTGTTCCCCGGGGTGTCCTTTGGGGGGTCTCCGTGAGTACGGGGCCCGGGGTCCTCTGCTGAGGGCCGTTCGATCCCGAATGACCGGAGCCAGAGCTGTGTTCTCATCAGCAGTAAGTCAGACCTGTTCCCGGTGCAGGTTGGCCTCCGCCAGGGCTGCCCTTTGTCACCGGTTCTGTTCACTGTATTTATGGACAGAATTTCTAGGCGCAGCCAGGGGCCAGAGGGGGTCCAGGTCCTTGCCCTCTTCAGGTGGAGAGGTCCTTCCTCAGGTGGAGGAGTTCAAGTATCTCGGGGTCTTGTTCACGAGTGAGGGAAGGATGGAGCGTGAGATTGACAGGTGGATCAGTGCAGCGTGCGCAGTGATGCGGTCGCTGTATCGGACCGTTGTGGTGAAGAGGGAGCGGACCGTTGTGGTGAAGAGGGAGCAGCGTCTGCAGTCAGAGCTGTATCGGACCGTTGTGGTAAAGAGGGAGCAGCGTCTGCAGTCAGAGCTGTATCGGACCATTGTGGTAAAGAGGGAGCAGCATCTGCAGTCAGAGCTGTATCGGACCGTTGTGGTAAAGAGGGAGCAGCGTCTGCAGTCAGAGCTGTATCGAACCGTTGTGGTAAAGAGGGAGCAGCGTCTGCAGTCAGAGCTGTATCGGACCGTTGTGGTGAAGAGGGAGCAGCGTCTGCAGTCAGAGCTGTGTTGTGGTGAAGAGAGAGCTGAGCCGAAAGGCAAAGCTCTTTATTTACCGGTCAATCTTCGTTCCCTCCCTCACCTATGGTCATGAGGGAGCAGCGTCTGCAGTCAGAGCTCCCTCACCTATGGTCATGAGCTTTGGGTAATGACTGAAAGAACGAGATCGCGGATACAAGCGGTCGAAATGAGCTTCCTCCGCAGAGTGGCTGCTCCCTTAGAGATAGAGGAGCTTTTTGGATGTCCCACCGGGAGGAGGCCCCGGGGAAGACCCAGGACACAGAGGGACTATGTCTCTCAGCTGGGAACACCTTGGGGTCCCCCCGGTCGAGCTGGAGGAAGTGTGTGTGGATAGGGAAGTCTATCCCTATCCACACACCGCGACCCGGCAACGGATGAAGCGGAAGAAAATGGATGGATGGATACTTTACTGATCCCCGTAGGAGCAGAAACACATGCATTCATACAAATGTGGCAAGCTGGACTTGGCCACCATATTTGTGTCCACCAGAGGGCGCATAAACGTAAAAACAGCCTGGGGTCAGGTCTTTGCTGACCTGCACTTGGTCTCCTGTGTGTGGTCACGCCTTCTCCTGCTCCAGTAGAGTTCTAGTGTTCCTTCTCATACTTGTAAGTTAAGTTGTTGTAGTGCCGCGGTGTGGCCTTGTGCCCCGCGAGTTCTGATTTTTAATGGCCATGCTGTCCTGTCGCTTTGGCGTCTGGCCGCCCTCGTCGCTGGGGTCCGAGTGTGTCGTAGCCGGCTGTGGGTCTGGGCCTGTAAACCGTCACCTGTCACGGGTGCGCGCTCAGCCTTTGCCGTGGAAAAGTAGGTTTTAGCTGCACACACTAAGAGTTCGGTGGTTGTTCATAGCTAACGTGACTCTACTTTACTCTACAGGCTGTTTCTCCTGTTTCTCTCCAGTGTGTCTGTGTTCACCTGTGCTCCTGAGTCCTTCTCCACAGGAATTTGGGCTCTTGTGAATATATTTGTTAAATGTGACAGAACAATTAAGAGAACAGAACCATACATTGCAACATAATAAACCAAAGTAACTTAATGTCTGTCTATGCTTCTCAACTTTGATTTTACGAACCTGTGCGCCTTAGAGCGCTTTTTATTTTATTTTGGGCACTCTGCCCTGGCGTTGCTGGACTTTTAGTAGTCGCCTCTACTTGCCACAAAAACAAAATTGTTAGATACTGAAATGACCACGGAATACCAGCGTGTTGTAGGCTTGGACTTTACTGCATAACAACAACGTTACATTCACTTCCGGTAGTGTCAAGGTACGTAGGCAGACAACATAACAGACTCAGACCATATAGAACGATGTCAGAGCAACCGATGTCAATACTCTACAACTCCTTTTCTAGATAACAAGTACAGTAAGCAGTATAACCTTTACCACTTAAAATAGAACTAAAGTGATACTAATGCAACAGCAGTTTACTTAAAGGGATAGTCTCTTGGGAGGTCGGTGAGTACGCATTGGATAACGTCTCTCAGGTGTAACCGCCGGGCTCGCCCCAGCTCTAGGGAGACCAATGCGTGGGGTCAGGGGCGGACCAGGGCTTGGCAGACACCCCATGTCGCTGTCGGAGCTTTGCAGGTTCCGGCTGTCTTGGCCTGCGGTCGAGCTAGGCAGGCTCATGGTCTCTGGAGTAGCGCTGGCAGTTGGCAGGCTCAGGTCCCCCTGAGCAGCGATGAATGAAGCCGCAGGATCCACCATCTCCGCTGCAGTGCGTACCTCTGACCCCCGTAGTTGATCAAGGTGGGGTCGCCAGATAGTGTCCAGAGCTACTTCTACGGTGTAGGACAAGGGCCCTTGCCTCTCTCTGATTATACCGGGAATCCACTTGTGTTCTCCACGGTAATCCCTGGCAAGCACAGTCTGTCCAATTTCCAGTTGACGCGTTTCTCTATTGTGAGTCCCTTTACCCTGCTTGATCTGACGATCCATTACCGTCCGTCGCAGGTTCGGCTTTAGCAGGTCCAGTCTTGAGCGCAGCCCCCGTCCCAGGAACAGCATGGCAGGGGTTCGGTTCGTAGTAGCATGAGTGGCGTTACGGTAGGCAAACAGGACGTTGGCTAACTTCTGCTGAAGAGAAATGGGTGCATCCGCAAAGGCTCGCAGACCTTGTTTTAGAGTTTGTACGAACCTCTCGGCGAGCCCATTAGTAGCCGGATGGTAGGGAGCTGATGTTATGTGGCGGATTCCATTCAGCTTCATAAACATCTGAAATTCACTAGCTGTGAATTGAGGACCATTGTCACTCACCAACTGTTCGGGGATACCAGTTCTAGCAAAGAGACCTCTCAACACGTCGATTGTGTTGGCTGTTGTCGTGGATTTCATGGCGAACACTTCTGGCCACTTTGAACATGCATCGACCACTACAAGGAATGTTTTATTCATGAATGGCCCGGCGAAATCAATGTGTATCCGTTGCCATGGCGATGTGGGCCATTCCCATGTATGGAGGGGTGCCACTGTCGGTTCGTTCTGTACACGCTGGCACCCAGGACAATGTGCTGCGAGCTGTTCTATCTGTTGGTCAATCCCTGGCCACCAGACATAGCTCCTGGCGAGTGCCTTCATCTTCACCACTCCCAGATGACCACTGTGTAACTCTTCCAGCACCCTGGACCTGACCTTGGTGGGTATGATGATCCTCATTCCCCACATAAGGCACCCAGAGTCAATAGCAAGCTCATCCCGGCGTTGGAAATATGGAGCGAGGAAAGACCTTTCACTAGCTGCCCAGCCTGTCTGCGTTGCTTTGTACACTTGTGAGAGAGTCGCATCTTTCCGGGTCTCTCTCTCAATCATCTCCGCTGTCACTGGGAGGCTTTCGATCTGCATGAGCGTGAACATCGCCACTGATTCTTTGTCTCCCTTTGTGCCTGTTGCGGTGTCGAGTGGCAACCGAGACAACCCGTCTGCATTGGCGTGATTTAGTGTGCTCTTGAATTCAATCTTGTACCGATGCCCTCCCAGGAACAGGGCCCAACGCTGCATGCGTGCCGCTGCGGTCATGGGGATCGCCTTATGGGGGTTGAATATTGAGACCAGTGGTTGATGATCGGTCACGAGGGTGAACTCCCTGCCGTATAAGTACTGGTTAAATCGTTTTACGCCCCAGACCAGGCCCAGTGCCTCCTTGTCTATTTGGGAGTAATTTTTCTCAGCCGAGGACAGGGAGCGGGAGGCAAACGCTATTGGTCTCTCAGTGCCGTCCCGCATGACATGTGACATAACGGCCCCTATACCATACGGTGACGCGTCGCATGCCAACTTCACAGGCAAGGACGGGTCGTAGTATGTGAGCACTGTCTCTGATGTCACCAGCCTTTTCACTTCCTGGAAGGCCTGTTCGCATTCCTTGGTCCATTTCCATTACCGTTCTGCCTGGAGTAGTTCGTTCAGAGGATGGAGCACTGTAGACAGGTTAGGCATGAACCGGTGGTAGTAGTTGATGAATCCAAGGAACGATCTCAGTTGCTGTACATCCTGTGGCTGAGGAGCCTTCATTACGGCATTGATCTTTTCTTTGCATTTATGCAAACCCTGTGCATCAATGGTGTGGCCGCAGTATGTGATACATGGTTTGAAAAACTCACACTTGTCACGTCTGGCCCGGAGTCCGTAATCTTGAAGTCTCTGTAAGACCTTATGGAGGTTCTCCAGGTGTTCGTTATCGTTGGCCCCAGTCACAATTATATCATCTAAGTAACACTGTGTACCTGGAATCCCCTGCAACACCTGATCCATAGCACGCTGCCAGATAGCCGGGGCTGAGGCCACTCCGAATACCAACCTGTTGTAGCGGTACAAGCCCTTCAGAGTATTGATGGTCAGGAACATCTTCGAGTCTTCCTCTATCTCCATCTGTAGATAGGCCTCCGCCAGGTCCACCTTGGTGAACCGCTTTCCACCAGCCAGGTTTGCAAAAATGTCCTCGATCCTGGGAAGTGGATATTGTTCTGCTTGTAGCACAGGATTGATTGTGATTTTGAAGTCCCCACACACCCTCACTGCCCCTGACTTCTTTGCTACTGGGACAATGGGTGTGGCCCATGGGCTCCAGTCAACTTTAGACAGAATTCCGTCGGCCTCTAGGCGGTCCAGCTCCGCTTCCACCTTCTGTCGTATGGCGTACGGAACTGGCCGTGCTTTGTGGAAACGTGGGATGGCCCCGTCTTGAAGAACAATTTTGCCCTTTATGTTTTTTAATGTCCCAATTCCATCTTGGAATACAGGCGTTGCAGCCACCAAGACTGTCTCCAATTTGACCTCTGTGGACTTGTCGGTGGTGTTTGGCGCCACCTGCAGGCTTTTAATGGACTTCCAATCCAGCTGTAATTTCCTCAGCCAGTCTCGGCCCCACAGTGCTGGTCCTCCTCTTTTTACAATGTACAAGTCCAATGTGCATTGTTGGCCATTGTGTTGTACCTCCACCGGCAATACGCCGAGGGGCTTGATTTTCTCTCCAGTATATGTCTTTAGGAGGACAGATGACGAGTTCAGCTTCTGGTCTCCAAAGTACTGCACAAAGTCACTGTGCGCCATCACTGACACTGCAGAGCCGGTATCCAGTTCCATCTTCACTTGTTTTCCATTCACCTGGGGTGTGAGCCAGATCGCTTCCCGGCCACCACCTTTAGCATGGTACACATCCAAGCAGTTTGTATGTTCACTTTCGTCCGATTCCTCACCTGCAGTTTCCTCTACATTGTACACTTTCTTGTTCTTGTGTGCATTCCACTGCGTCTTCCTCTCACTTTTATTCACTCTTGACTTTCCTGAGCGACAAACTCTCTGAATGTGCCCTGTCTTGTTACATAGTCTGCAGATTTCATCCCTAAATCTACACTGTGAAGGGGAATGGAAGCCCCTCCCACACCTGTAACACGGTTCACGCTCTCTTTCTTGTGGGACTGTTGCCATTTTATTCACATTTATTGCCTTTACTCCTGTTTGCAGTTCAACGGCATCTCTGGCTGCCGTTTCCATTGAGACTGCGATTTCAACTGCCCTTTTGTAAGTGAGCTTGTCCTCGGTAAGCAGTCTCTTCTGTATGGCCTCGTTCAGAATACCGCATACCAAGCGGTCTCTCAGCGCATCATCCAGTCCCTGTGCAAATTCACAGTGCTCAGTAAGTCTCTTCAGCTCAGCCACATAACTAACAATAGATTCTCCCTCATGTTGATTTCGCTTGTGGAATCTAAAACGCTCAGCAATTAGTAGCGGCTTTGGCGATAAATGTTCTTTCATCACTTTCACCAATTCATCAAAAGTCTTGTCTGATGGCTTATCTGGTGCAGTCAAGCTCCGCAACAGGCCGTATGATTTTCCCCCCATTGCACTCAGCAACACTGCAACATGTTTCTCCGCTGCTATGTCATTTGCCACAAAATACTGGGAAACGCGTTCAGTATACTCGACCCAGTCATCCGTTGTGCTGTCAAACGGGTCCATCGATCCAACTCTAGCCATCTTGTCACGCTGTGTATGCACACTCTCTTCCGAGTCACTACTGTCTGTTTCAATATGCTGCTCCTGTGAGACAGTAGAATCGCTCATCGCCGAGACATGGGTCCACTGTACAACCACCTCGTCGCCACTGTTAGATACTGAAATGACCACGGAATACCAGCGTGTTGTAGGCTTGGACTTTACTGCATAACAACAACGTTACATTCAACTTCCGGTAGTGTCAAGGTACGTAGGCAGACAACATAACAGACTCAGACCATATAGAACGATGTCAGAGCAACCGATGTCAATACTCACAAAGGAGTCTTCTTCTTCTAATAGTTAGATTACGGCAAAATGCGCCAAAATGACTTTGAGGCGGAGTCAATTTTGTTGTATTTTTTTTTCTCATCAAATAACGTCTTTCCCATTTTTCCACACACTGACAACACACACTCCTTCTCCTCCACACACTGACAACACACACTCCTTCTCCTCCACACACTGACAACACACACTCCTTCTCCTCCACACACTGACAACACACACTCCTTCTCCTCCTCCACACACTCTGACCACAACAAGGCGTTACCCAAAATGCACTGCACTCACAGTGGCCCTCATGTATGAAGCTTGCGTACGGCCAAATCAGGGTGTAACTGAGGCGTACACAAAATATTTACACTTTTCCGCATTTATCAATCTGGACATTTATTCTGGATCAGAATCAGTTTATTTGCCATTTGCAGAAAAAAACGACATTGGAACACAGGAGACACCGGGGGCACCAACACAACAAAGCACACACACAGAATAAAAATAGCGAGACACAGTGAGGCAAATATAAAACTCTTAAAAGCATTATTAAGACGCTACGAAGGAGGAGCTCCAAGAGAAGCAGATCTCAGGACGCTCTGTTCAGTCTTATAACCGCCTGAGGGAAGAAGCTATTGGCATGGCGGGTGGTCCTGCACCGCACGGACCGGAATCTTCTCCCCGAGGGAAGAGGCTGGAACAAGGCCGCTCCAGGATGACCAGAGGAGTCCTTTACAATCCTCAGGGCTCGGTTCAAGAGTCTGCTCTCATAACGAGACTCCAGAACGGGCTTCTCACGGTTCACAGTCCTCTGAGCAGAACCACTTTGTTCAGGGCTCTCTTTTCTTTGGCTGTGATGAACCACAGTGATCGCACCAGCATCAGGCTTTCTATGGTGCAGCGGTAGAAGTTCAGAAAAATCTTAGAGTTGTTTGTAAATTCTCTACGTTTCCACAGAAAGTATAGACGTTGGCGAGCTTCCTTAACAATAAGGTTAGACCAAGAAACTTACTCTCCTCAACAACCTCCACCTGAGAGTTTTCAATGACCACAGGAGAGAGAGAGACCACGACTGCACAGGTGAGTGGGAGAGACCACGACTGCACAGGTGAGTGAGAGAGAGACCACGACTGCACAGGTGAGTGAGAGAGACCACGACTGCACAGGTGAGTGAGAGAAGGACCACGACTGCACAGGTGAGTGGGAGAGACTACGACTGAACAGGTGAGTGAGAGAGAGAGGGACCACGACTGCACAGGTGAGTGGGAGAGACCACGACTGCACAGGTGAGTGAGAGAGACCACGACTGCACAGGTGAGTGGGAGAGACCGCGACTGCACAGGTGAGTGAGAGAGACCACGACTGCACAGGTGAGAGAGAGTGACCACGACTGCACAGGTGAGTGGGAGAGAGAGTGACCACAACTGCAGGTGAGTGGAGAGAGACCACGACTGCACAGGTGAGGAGAGAGACCACGACTGCACAGGTGAGGAGAGAGAGACCACGACTGCACAGGTGAGTGAGAGAGAGACCACGACTGCACAGGTGAGTGAGAGAGAGACCACGACTGCACAGGTGAGTGGGAGAGACCACGACTGCACAGGTGAGTGAGAGAGACCACGACTGCACAGGTGAGTGGGAGACAGAGTGACCACGACTGCACAGGTGAGAGAGAGAGACCACGACTGCACAGGTGAGTGGGAGAGACCACGACTGCACAGGTGAGTGGGAGAGACCACGACTGCACAGGTGAGTGAGAGAGACCACGACTGCGCAGGTGAGTGAGAGAGAGACCACGACTGCACAGGTGAGTGGGAGAGACCACGACTGCACAGGTGAGTGAGAGAGACCACGACTGCACAGGTGAGAGAGAGAGACCACGACTGCACAGGTGAGAGAGAGAGACCACGACTGCACAGGTGAGAGAGAGAGACCACGACTGCAGAGGTGAGTGAGAGAGACCACGACTGCACAGGTGAGAGAGAGAGACCACGACTGCACAGGTGAGTGGGAGAGAGACCACGACTGAACAGGTGAGTGAGAGAGACCACGACTGCACAGGTGAGAGAGAGAGACCACGACTGCACAGGTGAGTGAGAGAGACCACGACTGCACAGGTGAGTGGGAGAGAGACCATGACTGAACAGGTGAGTGGGAGAGAGAGAGTGACCACAACTGCACAGGTGAGTGGGAGAGAGACCATGACTGAACAGGTGAGTGGGAGAGAGAGAGTGACCACAACTGCACAGGTGAGTGGGAGAGAGAGAGTGACCACGACTGAACAGGTGAGTGGGAGACAGAGTGACCACGAATGCACAGGTGAGAGAGAGAGTGACCACGACTGCACAGGTGAGTGGGAGAGAAGTGACCACGACTGAACAGGTGAGTGGGAGACAGAGTGACCACGAATGCACAGGTGAGAGAGAGAGTGCCACGACTGCACATGAGCGTGGGAGAGAAGTGACCACGACTGCACAGGTGAGTGGGAGAGAGAGTGACCACGACTGCACAGGTGAGTGGGAGAGAGAGTGACCACGACTGCACAGGTGAGTGGGAGAGAGAGAGACCACGACTGCACAGGTGAGTGGGAGAGAGAGTGACCACGACTGCACAGGTGAGTGGGAGAGAGAGAGACCACGACGGCACAGGTGAGTGGGAGAGAGAGAGACCACGACGGCACAGGTGAGTGGTCACCTGGGAATCAATGGTGGTGTCGTCTGCATATTTAATGATCAAGTTTGAGTCAGAAGAAGCAACACAGTCATGGGTGTACAATGTGAAGAGCAGAGGACTCAGAATACACCCCTGAGGAGATCCAGTGCTCACAAACGCTTCATCTGAGAGACGGCCACCGATTCTAACTCTCTGAGATCTGCTGATGAGAGAGCTGTAAATCCATTTACACATGGCTTCGCTCAGGCCGAGGGATCTGAGCTTTTCAACCAGTTTACCTGGGACTAGACAGTTAAAAGCAGAGCTGTAATCAATGAACAGCATTCTGGCCAGAGATTTAGCATTGTCCAGATGACTGTACACAGAGTTCAGTGCAAGAGAGATCAGGTCTTCAACGCTCCTGTTTTCTTTGTACGCAAACTGGAGCGGGTCGGTACCGGAGGGGATCTGGCTCTAAACAAAGTCCAGTACAAAGTCCAGTATAAGCCGCTCAATGCCGTCTGGGCATGCGGCTTTTCGGGTCGGGGTTCTGGACAGGACCCGCTGCACTTCCTCCTGCGTCACTGTAAAGGCTGCTTGGTCTATACAGTCAAGGAAGACGACAGGTGAGGGCTCAGCGGCTTCAAAGTGACAGTAAAAGTTCTTGAGCTCGTTGGGCAGAGCTTTGTCAGCGATGACAGTTCTGCCTGCGCTCGGCTTCCAGGCTGTGATGGTCTGAATGCCCTTCCACTTTTGCCTGGAATCGTTCTCTATGCAGTGTCCTTCTTGTCGCTCTCCATAGGACCGCTTAGCATGTTTAATAGAGCGTTCTAAAGCACATCTGGATAGTTTGTAAGCCAATGCATCGCCAGATTGAAAAGCTAACGCACACTCACGGATTCTACTTTTTACTTCCGAAGTCATCCATAGGTTTTGACCACAATGCTCTTTTATTATTTTCCGTGGGACACAGCAATCAATACAAAAGTCAATATATCCCGTAACAGCATCACAGTATTCGTCCACATTTTCCGAGTGGAAAACAGACCAGTCCGTGGCGTCAAAACAGCCCTGCAGCTTTAAGTTTACGTCGTCTGACCAGCACTGAACAGAACGAAAGGATGGTTTCTGTAGCTGGCTCTTCTGCATATATGATGGCA